AAATTGTCTATTTGAGAAGTGGAGCTTCTAAAATCATAGGCTGTTACAGTCCTAAGGGAATCTTAAAACACAGGCAGAGACTGGCTATGAAAAGGAAAGGAAAAATTTGTGTCACTGTTTTAACAATAGACTTCTTTCATGTGGAGGACCTAGATGTCTGTTAATTACTAACTGGCTTGAGGGTTTTGGATTCTGGCCCAATATGCTGAAATTCTTAACCATCCACTGGCTGGCATATTCTTCAAGGTCTGTGTTTGGAAACTGGTAATGTAATGGGTTCCATCTTAATAGACTGTTTATGTAGTAGAAACATTTTCATTTTCAGCTGTGTTTCTGTCTTACAGTCTCGGTATTCATTGCCGGCATAGATTCCAGACGGTTGTGTGAGCTCAGAAAGCAAGGGCTGGTTTTGAGGTTAGATAATGTTGGACCAAGCTGAGCAGCATGTGTTGTCTTTGCTGTGCCACAGCCCCACCACAGTGATCAAGACGTAAAACTCTGCCCTCTAATTTTGGGTGATTTGGATCTGAAAGCCTGTGATTAACTATTGCACTTGAAAGGGCCTGAGATCTCTGGAAACCAGGCAGTAGATCTATATGATGAAAGGAATCCAAAATAAATAGAAGGCTAAAAACATTTTTATCATCCTTTTTCCATGTGAACATGGCAATATATTTGTCTGAAATAAAATTTCATTGGTATTTTCTGAAGTAAAGCTGTACATTATTCCACTCCTTTCAATGAGTTCTGTTTGTGGGTTTCCATGCAGATTAAAGTATGTGCACCAAGTATTTTCATTAAATGAAGATGTAGTAGACAAAAATTTCTAAGCAATCTGCAAGATTGAATGAATCTGTGGTGTTCCCACTCTTAAGAGACGTTCTGTGGAGACCTCCACAACTTCCTTTTGTTTTGCCTTTTAGTTTTTAAATCCAGGTGTGGAGGAAGTTGTCCTTGTGGTGCCAGCTGATGGAAAGTTGATCAATTTAGTGCTGGTCTTGGTAGCAGCTGTGCAAAGGCCAGGGAGGCAGTACCTGGCATAGAATTGGATGTGAACTAATAAAAGCTGTCAAAAAAAAGTGGCATATGGCAACAACATGAAGTAATTATTATGTGTAGATGAAATAACCACCTTGAAATAAAACTGAAACTGACTTGCGGAAACAAACCCCAAAACTCGCAAAGAGTATTGAAGCAGGTATGTTTATTCACATGGCCAGGTGCATGTGGGATAATTCCTCCAATCGTGCACACCCACTGCCTTTGTTCAGCTCCTTTTATGCAGGATAATGTTACAGATGCATTAATAGTATTACATATACATTAGTTATGTTACAAATGCATTAGCTGTGTCGGCAAATTCCAGAAAAGTGGGAGGGGAAATCATTAACATACACCACCCCTTTAACTCCACCTTGGAACATCCCTTTGGGGTTTTCTGTCAGGGGTCTTTGGGGGTCTTTTGGATGAAGTAAGAAGTCTTCCTCGGCTTGAACTTTTTACCTTTGCCAAGAACTACTGAGTTGGCACTGTCCAATTCACTCAAAACTGGTATCTTCTCCAGGAGCTTTTCTTTATCAACTTTCAAGGTCTCTTTCTCATGAGCTTCAAAGCCCCCTATCTAAACTCTAAGGTTTTCTGTTCCCGCTGAAGTCTTCATTATAAAATTAACTATATCCTGTCTGTGAGTTAGCATAAGCAAGCAAGGCCCTATCCTAATTCTACCTAAAAATTTGCTAGTAAGCA